AGCAAGCAGGGTGGTACGTGCTTTGGCTGTTCAGGATTGGGTAAGAGTAGGTCACCTTTGGATTCATTGATGTGGGGGCTAGGGGAACTTCAAAATTGTTAATAACAGTTGCCCACAAGGACAGTTGTGACGAGAAGATGTTATTTATCAAAATTAGTCATTGCCTCACCACGTGGATGGGGTCACTTTGTTCAGGGTGGGCACAATTTGGGTGCTTCTTGGAAATGTTTATGGGTCCTTGACTGGAGCTGAATCAGCCTTGTGCCACACAGGGAATTTCCCAAGGTGGCTTTTTTTTGCTCTTTTACCTTGCTCTTACAGGTTTCTCTGTGTAGCCCTGGCTACCCTGGAACTAGCTCTGTAGATCAGGCTGGTCTCGAACTCACAGAAATCCTCCTGCCTCTGTCTACACAGTGCTGGGATTAAAGGTGAGCATCACCACCCTTTGGCAATTTTTTTTTAATCTTGCTTCTTAGCCCATAAAACCATCCTCATGAGAGATGTCATGTGTACTTTACAACAGCCTAAGTGACTTCTGTGTTATCCTAGGGCTAGGCCAATCCTGACTCCCACAGACATGATGCTTACCCCAGCCAAGCTCCCTAGACCCTTGACCAGTGCTTCTGAGTCATCAGAACCCATCTTTACGGAAAAAGCCAGATGTGCTTCATAAAGACTCTCAACATAAACATGTATTAGGCTTGTTGTACACTTGGGACTGAGTTAATTGTCATCAGGAAACTTTTTGCCCAAATTGTGCCATGCTAAAATATGGCTAAATTAAACCACTCGGTGTCAGACTCTAGAAGTTTGGCTCAGCACGGGCTAATTAAGTCAGGCTGAACTGAGTTTCATTTTTACCTCACCTGGATTGTGTGCCAACGATGATGCTTTCAGGGACCCACACGCCCTATCTGTCGTTTCTTGTTTTTGACACTGTGAACAGAAGCCCCTGCCATCAGGGCTGCCATTTTCTAGGAGGGAGGGAGGGGGCTTCACACACTCTGCTGCCTCCTCAGTCCTGCCTCTGTGGAGGAGAGTTTCAGCCCTGCTCCCAAGCTCCATGCTCTGCTGTCATCTCTGCTGTCTCCCTCCCTCCGAGCTCAGGTTCCTCCCAGGCAGGAGCATCTTCCAGAATCTCATAGACGGTTGGTGTGTCTGTGTCCAAGGCCCTGCTCTGTCCCCTCCTCTCTCACGCTGCCTCCTCCTCCTCTCCCCTTCTCCCTCTTTGTATTTCAGTCTCCACACCACACAGTGAGCAGCAAGGCTGAGAAGTGTCTGTGCCCTGAGAGAGAGGCAGCTCACCCCAAGGATGGCCTCTGCTGAGTCCTGACCTCGGTCTGTCAGAACCAGAGAAGGAACCACTGGCTTCTCAACGTGATCTTTGTGACATAAAAATCCCCGTTGTTCTTCTGGGCTGCCCTGAGTTTACACCCAACATGCAGAGATATCTCCCAGGCCTAGGATGGGACTAAGTGGATGACGACTGCGTGAAGGAACTTAACCATGATCACAGAGTTCGGTTCCAGGTCAGGGGCCCAGGAGCAATTGTGTCAGAAGTGTGACATCCTGTGTGTGGGGGAGGAAGTGACCTGTGATCTGGAAGGAGGATGTGGGTCCATCTTCCTGTGGAAGGATCCAGAGAGACCTCGAGCTCCCTGTGTGGCTGGGCTGTGCCTGGGTCTTTAATGAAAGTCTACTCTGGGTTAACAATGCTGTTCAGTTGACAGTGTGCTTGCCTGGCATGTTCTGGGTGAGACTGCCACACCGGAGTGCTGGCACCTCCCTGTCATCCTAGCGCTGGGGAGCTGGAGGCAGGAGGACCAGAGGTTCAAGGTCATCCTCAGCCCCCATGTGATGCCAGGCCAGAATGGGCAACACACACGAGAGTGTGTCTTAAACAAACAAGCACAAGTTCCTATAGTAGGGAACATTCTTTTGATTTTTTTTTTTAAGACAGGATTTCTCTGTGTAGGTTTGGCTGTCCGAGAACTCTCTCTGTAGACCAGGCTAACCTCGAACTCACAGAGATCCTGTGCCTCCCAAGTGCTGGGATTAAAGGCATATGCCTCTTCCATTCTGTACACTTAAATTTTGCATGTGTATAGTTTTTGCATTTAGGAGGTTGAGGCAGGAGGATTCATTTGTTAGGGACCAGTGTGATGGGAATATATAATAAGTTCCAAACTTACTAGGCTCCACCAACAGTATAAAAGTAAATGTAAAATAATAAATGTGCGTTAACAATTAATTCAATGGTAAGCTGAAGGTATTTTTGGGATTAAATCTCAGGGTAGTCAAAAGAGAAAATTCTTGTTCACTCACTAACTGCTGTCCTTTCTGATTCTACCTTCAGATGTCCATCAGGTGAGTCAGACGTCCCCTCGAGGCTCCTACAGACTCCTGACTACACTGACTCTTTCCTGTCTCTTAGTGAGTTTTTCTCTCTTATGGCCCACAGTCACCACCAATGTCCCTATCACCAGGAAGGGGCCCAGAAGGTTGTCATTTTGTGTGTTCGCTTGCTTTGTGCATTGGGGGTAAAAGTTCCTTTGGGGAGGGCATTCTCTGCTCTGTGACTCTTTCCAGAGCTTAATGTCAGGTCCCAAACAAATTTAGGACAAATGGCCAACTGTCGTGCCTATTTAACTTACCAAAGTCCATGGACACCAGGGTACTGGCTCCCCTCAGTGCTTCTCACCCCCACCCTAAACCTCTGCAGTCCCTGAACTTGGATTCCAGTTCTCTCTCTCTCTCTCTCTCTCTCTCTCTCTCTCTCTCTCTTCTCTCTCTCAGCCTGGTTCAGTCTACTGGCTATGTTTAGTCTACTACTTTCTCTCCCTTATCTATATTGTGGAGCAGATCAGAGGGACTCTAAGAAAGTTTTTTTATATATATAAATAACTGATTTAACTTTATTTTAAGTGCATTGGTGTGAACGTATCAGATCCCCTGGAACTGAAGCTACAATCAGCTGTGAGCTGCCAGGTCCTCTGGAAGAGCAGCGAGTGCGCTTAACCGCTGAGCCATCTCTCCAGCCCCTCTCTCTCCCTGCTCAAGACCCTTCCAGCTGCCTCTGGCTGTTCTCTCCTCATATCTGCAATAAAATCCTCTCCTCAACCGCACCTTGGAATGGTCATGTCCTTGTTTTTAATCACGCAGATGGCAAATGGTAGCTGAGAAAGCCAGAGCTGGGAAGCAGGGTTCTTTGGGGCAGCCGTCTCCCCATCCTCACCCTACCCTCACTCCAGGACAAATGAATGTGCTGTTGGCCAATTATCACATAGGGAGAAGTGGGGGACAAGCTTGAACCTCTACCAAGATTTCCCAGTGTGACCCTGGAAGGCTGCACAGCTCGAAGTCACATCAACCAGAACCCTAGGGACCAGGTGGGACTTGAGGTCTGGATGCTCACCCATCACGTTGTGGGTTTGCCCCCCTCTCCCTACAGAGGCAACAGCTCATGTCACCCCCAGCCAAGGCCAGGTTTTCTCTCCACAAGTGTTGCTCAGCAACACTCACCTACTTTAAAGGTTCTTACCACCCCAGATCTTTCTCTCTGTCTTGTTTCTTCTCTCTGTCTGTGTCTGTATCTCTCTCTTAAGTGTACCCACTCTGAAACAGTCTTTCACCCAGCCCCACATAAACCTCTTGCATTGGATCTGTTGCCTGGCATGATCTCTTAGTGGCACACCTTGGCCACCCGCCAAAGGTACCCTTTCTGCCTCTTTCTCCTAACACATCAGAGAGATGCAAAGGCAGTAAGGAACACATACACACACACACACACACACACACACACACACACACACACACTTTGCAGAGAATGTTGAGGTGCTGGTCATCTTCCGTCTCCTGTGTCACAGGCAGTGGGCTTTAGAGTAGGAGAGCTGCTCTGTAGGCCCGATGGTCAGGGCTCACTTCCTGACCAAGAGATCATGTCCTGTGCAAAAGCTTCAGAGAAAGGCAGGCACTCCAGGGCATCAGAATGAGGGCAACTGGCTGAAACTGAGGAACTGGAGACTGCAATACGAATAATAAAAACCCAGAGACAGATATTGGTGTTCAAGCTGAAGATCAGAGAAGCAAAGCATCCGCCAGTAGCTCTCACCTCTACCAATGCTCACACTGAAGGGGAGATCCACTGAACCTCAGATTGCATCTCCAGACTGCACTGCTCCTCACCAAGCCTCAGAATCTTAAGACTGCCCTCTCAGACTGCACTGAGCTCCTTATATACCCTCTAGTGCTGGGATTAAAGGCACGAGCTGTTTCTCTTTTAGACTGCTTCACTCTAATGTAGCCCTGGATGGCCTTGAACTCACAGAGATCCATCTGTCTCTGTCTCCAGAGTCCTGGGATTAAAGGTCTGTGCCACCACTGCCCAGCTTCTATAGCTAACGAGTGTGGCTGGCTTTGCATACTGATTCTTCGGGCAATCTTTATTAAATCATAAACATCACCACATGAGACAGTGCAATCAGAAAGGTAGGTGGGAAATGGGGTCTGGGAGCAGGTTGAGGAAAGATGAAATCCAGTCAGTCATGACTTCTTTAAATATCCATGGGCATTTAACCATCATTCATAAAGTAAGAAGTATGAACATGTTTAAAAAAATATTAGTCAGGCTTCCTCATCTCAGCCACCTTTTATCTCAGAACTCAGGAGGTAAAAGCAGGCAGATCTCTTTGAGTTCCGGGGCAGCCTGGTCTACAGAGGAGTTACAGAACAGCTGGAGCAACACAGAGACACTCTGTCTCAAAACAAGGGAACAACAAACTATCAAAAAGAAAAGGATCTTTGAGACAGGTAGGATGGAGGAGGAGAGAGCAGGAAAGCTCAGGCCACAGCAAGAACGGGGTTGACACAGAACATAGCCTTGGGCAGAGACCCTGCTCACCTCGCATGTGACTCTGAGAGATGCCCCTGGGGCTAAGGACAGGAGACATAAGAGGGAAGGACACCAGCAGGGCTGACATCAGGACTGCACCAAGGGAGCAGAGACCATGGAGTCCCCTTCTCTGCTTCTCTGCAAAGGGCTCCTGCTCACAGGTGAGACCAGGCCTGCAGAGGTGTGGAGAGGGCGCTCTGACAGGAAGCATCCTGGGAAGAGACTCTCTCTCTGCTTCAGCCTGAGGGGAGAGAGCACAAGGAGGGACAGAGGCTGCTCAGCTGGAAGCTGGCAGGAAATAGGGAGTGTTAGGAGTGGGAACAAGCCAGGGATTGACTGCAAACACAGAAGGAACAGAGTAAGAAGTTGAAAAGGGATGACCCAGGGTCTCTAGAGGAGGAGGTCAAGGACTGCATCCCCACCCCCACACATACTCACTCCTGAGTGTGAGCATTGACCTGAGGGCGGTGAGGGGGGCCATGCAGACACTGGAGGAGAGAGTTCCATGCAGAGGACACAGCTCCAGGGGCACTGAGGGATGGAGGGAACAGGCTTTGGCTTCCTGTTGCTTTCCTGCACCAAGTCCTGGCACACCCACAACTACACACCAAGGCTGCACTCCCCTGCTCAGCACACAGTGGGCCTAATACTGATGGGCTTTTCTCTCTTCTAGCCTCACTTTTAGCTTGCTGGACCTCACCCACCAAGGCGCTAAGAACTACTAAAGAAATTCGGTTCTCTGCTGCCAAAGGAGCCAGGGTTCTTCTCTCTGTTCCTAGCCAGGCAGTGAACCTTCTCTCCTTTCACTGGTACAAAGGGAAAGATGCAAACGAAGATTTTACAATTGCCCATTATGAAAAGGCCAAGGGTTCACTTAAACTTGGGAATCAAATCAGCGGCAGGGAAGAAATATATATGGATGGATCCATGCTGCTCCAGAATGTCACCCAGGAAGACACCGGGATCTACACCCTAGAAATCTTTGGATCAGATGACCTCTATGAAATAACATATGTCCACCTTCAAGTGTACAGTAAGTGACTCTCTGTGACTGGTGGGTGTTGGGTGGAGTTTATTCCACTAAACACAGGCGTGTCAGGGCTGCCTTGTGCTTAGCTCCCCTCTGCCTTGTGTCCCCTCATTGGGGTTTGAGCCTTTAGTGCAGGACACACATGGAGGAGTTAAACTGCCATAGATGAAAATCCATCACCCAAATCCACCCAGCAGAGGGGAGGACCTGCAGTGGGTAACTGGGCTAAGGACAGTAGACTCAGTCAAGACTCTTGAGGCTGTCCTTATGAACATGGTGCAGACAGGGATGGACCCTGAGAGACTCAGGCAGGCCAGGGCTGAGGAGAACTTGAGATCTTCACACAGATGGGAGACCCAGGAAGCCCCAAATCCAGACCTCTCCCAGACTCCACCCCAGGTGACCCTGGGGACCTTGTCTCCAGGGCTGGGTTTGGATTTCCTGTTAGGTCTGACAGAGAACAAGGCTTTAATGGCATGTGTAAGCAGCCATCCCATTGCTGTGACAGCCACATCTAAGCAGGGTCCCCTGAAGACTTCATGGAGAGCAAAGCTGGACTGGTACCCAAGCCATCAGCAAACTTTTCTCATAGGTTTGCAGGTACTAATGAGAACTATTTATCATCAGGGCTCCATCCCAGAGAACTCTGACAGCTAGGAAAATGGTAATAGACTCCCCAGATTTGGGTAGCTCCCCCATGGCAAGGTCAGGTCCTTATTTAAGGTTAACTCACAGACATGGCAATGATCACTCCCCATGTATCCTACTATAGAGAAACAGAGACCCGGGAGATACAGGGCTAACTCAGGGCCACACAGGCCATAGGTGGCAGATCACAAGCACAAAATTTCTGGCTATAGCCTCGGCCCTGAATTCCTCCATTGAAAAGGCCTCATTAGGTGCCCGTGAAGCAGAGAGGGGCTGAGATCTCTCATTTGTTCTCTTCTGTTTCTTTACAGCAATTGTGACACAGCCCTACTTGCAACTCAACCACACTACAGTAAAGAGACGAAAGAATGTTTCAATTTTCACCTGTGTGACACCAGACACTGGAGTTGACATCAATTGGTTCTTCAATTACAAGCCCCTCAATTTAACAGAGAGGACCACTCTGTCATCTGAAAAGCACAAGCTCACCATCAATCCTGTCTGGAGGGCAGACGCAGGGATCTATCAGTGTGAGGTCTCCAACTCCTTCAGCTCCAGGAGGAGTAACCCACTGCTCTTTGTGGTGGCTTATGGCTAATGTCTTCTCTCTTCCTATACCACAGCGCTGAGATTTTCATGTTCCCTAGAGTTCAAAGCTTGAAAAAGTTATAGGAGAAAGTTAGCAGTGAAGACACAGACTGCCATCATGGCGACATAAACCTTCCATTCCCAAATAAAACACAAGTCAGGAGGAACATGAGTACAAGGCCAGTCCAGTTACACAGTGTTTTAAAAATAGACCTCAGTAAGGGGCTGGAGAGATGACTCAGCAGTTAAGAGCACTGGCTGCTCATCTGGAGGACCTGGGTTCAAATCCCAGCAGCCATATGGCAAGTCGTGCCTGTCTGTAACTCCAAGATGTGACATATAGACAAACCACCAATGCACATAAAATAAATAAAAATAAAAGAAATCCCCACTCCACCCTTAAAAAAAAAAAAAAGGCCTAGGTATAGGAACAGAATTGCAAAGAAGTAAAGTATGCCTCAGGTTCTGAATCCCATATGAACTCAGGCCTCAGAATCCCAGAGGGAACTGCCAGGTGCCTCACACTCTCTAAAAGCTGTGACAGCTCAGAGTCCCTGTTAAAATGCTGCAGAGTTTGCATAGAGTAAACACAGCTTTTCTCATGCTCAGACGGTTCCTGATGACCAACACCCATGCTGCTTAGACCCCAGTCATCCATGTGAATTTGGGATACTGACAGGGGATCGGACTGCATGTGTTTTACACTGTCTATAGTTCCCGATCTGTAGATTGTTTGCTGCATAGAGATAAAATCCATGGACATAAAGGCTCCATGTACTGAGTTTCTTGTCCTGAGTCTGACTTTATTATTATTTTTTTTCACTTTGACTTTGCACGAGATCATGTTTTGTCTGAACAGTTTCTGGTGTGGTAAATCACATTCACTTATTTCTTTGTGTTTTTGAGACAGGGTCTCATTACATAGTTCTGGTTGTCCTGGAACTCACTCTGTAGACATGCGGATCTCAAACTCACAGAGACCTGCCTGTCTTTACCTCTCCATTACTGGGATTAAAGGCAGACTCCACTATGCCTGGCTGAGATTTCTTTATCCATTTAACTTGGTCAAACTTCTTAGCTTACACATGATGGTTGAAGGCCCACAGGTATTACATGGAAGATTTACCATTTTAGCCATCTTGATGACCACAGTTGAGTGTCATGAGCACATTCATATTGTTGTGTGAACAGCACTGTCTTAGTCAGTGTTCTGTTGCGGTGAAGAGACACCATGACCAGGGCAACTCTTATAACAGAAACATTTAAAGGGGCTGGCTTACATTTTCAGAGGTCCAGTCCATTAGCATCACGGTGGGAAACAAGGCTGCATGCAGGCAGACATGGTGCTGGAGAAGGAGCTGAGATTCTTACATCTTGACCCACGGGCAACAGGAAATGGTCTATGACACTGGGCAGGGCTGGACCATATATGAGACCTCAAAGCCACCATCACAGTGACACTCTTCTTCCAACAAGGCCATACCTCCTAATAGTGCCACGTCCTGTGAGATTATGGGGGCTAACTAATTACATTCAAACTACCACAACACACGACACACACACATACACACACACACACACAAACACACACACAATTATACATATATCCATAAATTATACATATATATTATATTACATCCATACATATACATTATATAATGTATTTTGTTAATCATGTAATTCTTGTTATTCTGAAGCTTGCATAGCAGTGTCTCAAATTTAACTTTTAATAGCAATAATTTTAATTGATTTCATTATGAAGTTAATTTTGTTAAAAGAAAATATCAATCCTTTGACAAAAACCAACTTTTAATGGAATTGACTTTTTAAAAAGGTTTTATTTATTTATTTATTTATTTATTATGTATACAACATTCTGCTTCCATGTCTATCTGCACACCACAAGAGGGCACCAGATCTCATAATGGATGGTTGGGAGCCACCATGTGGTTGCTGGGAATTGAACTCAGGACCTCTGAGTAGTCAGTGCTCTTAACCTCTGAGCCATCTCTCCGGCCCCAGAATTGACTTTTTGATACAATTAATGTTTGACTTTCATTCTATTTTTATTCCCTCTTTCATGGGCATAAGGGCAGGTGATGTTCTTCGTTTTCCTTTGGAGATGGGAGGGTGGTTTCATGCTACTACTTTAATATAAGAATTAAAGGCTCCTTTGGCAAAAATCTGCACATGGGAAGGCTGCTCTATGTGCGTTAGCTGCAGTTGTGGGCACCGTTAGGGGAAGACATGAACTCAGGTAGCCGGATGGACCTCCGATAAACCACACAAACGTAAGTAAAACCCTCCCAACTCAAAACCTCAGGTTTTCATCTTTAAATGGAAATGACTTTATCATGACAGACAATATATACAGGATATACAGGTAATATATCCCCCGAGGGTACAAATAGAAGTTCATCATGCTGAGAGCCTTTCCCAGCATAGTCCAGGGTAAAACCCTCCACATTCCTGCCTTGGTTTTCCCTCTTGACAGCTGGCCCTGGCCTCTCAGCTGGGCACACTGTTTACATAGAGGCTGGAGTTGTGGCTGGGGTGGCTGTGACAGCATGGTGGGCACATTTCTTCCATACCAAGAAGCCTCAATCAGACTGCCCTGTGGATGTGTCTGTGGAGCACTTTCTTGATTAATGATTGATGTGGAAAAGCCCAGCCCACTATGCACCTATCATTTATAGGCAGTCCAGCCTAGACTATTTAAGCAAGGTTGATGAATGTGAGCCTGGAAGTAAGCCAGGAAGCAGAATTCCTCCATGGACCCTGTTCTGGTCCTGCTTCCTGGTTTTGGCCTTGCCTTCCTTGGATGATGGACTATAATCTATCTGTAAGCTGAAATAAACCATTTTCTTCTCCCAAGTGGGTTTTAGCCAGGCAGTGGTGGTGCACACCTTTAGTCCCAGCACTCAAGAGGTAGATGCTGGCAGATCTTTGTGAGTTTGAGGCCAGCCTGATCTATTGAGCAAATTCCAGGACAGTCTCCAAAGCTACAGAGAAACCCTGTCTCAAAAATCCAACCGCCTCCCACCAAAAAGCAAACCAAACTTAGACAGGGTGTCAAATGGGTGTAGGTTGATCCCTAAGAGTTTGAGACCAGTCTGGACTACACAGAGTTTCAAACCAGCAAGAACTGCTCACACAGTGAAGTCACACAAAGAAATCCATCCCTCAAGCCCAGAAATACAAATATACAAAACAAAAAAAAAACAATAAAATTCATTCAAACCAAAAAAAAAAAAAAAAAAAAAAAAAAAAAAAAAAAAGACAAAACAAATGTCAGGCAGTGGTGGCACAGCCCTCTAATTCCAGAACTTGGGAAGCAGAGGCAGGTGAATCTCTGAATTCATGGCCAACCTGGTCAACAGAGTGAATTCTAGGTCACCCAGGGATACCCAGAGAAACCCTGTCTCAGAAAACCAAAAAACTATAAATAAAATAATCAAGCCAAGTGCCCCATTCATGCCCCCTAGATGTTAGTTGTTTGAGTTCTAAGTCCTGCTTGATTTACATAGTGAGTTCCAGGCCAGCCTGAGCCAAAAAATGAGACCCTGTATCAAACAAAGAGAGAAACAACAGAACCAAAATCACAAATGTTAAGACAAAGATTTGAAGACATCCCCAGTAACTACATCAGGCAGAAGTGAATTCAGTCCTCAACCTCTATGATAAAAACATTTTTTTTTTCTTTTTAATCCTGCAGATGCCTAGATTTCCAAACTTCTGACTTCCAGGAGTATAAGCATGTCTGTGGTCTTTAATCTACCAATTGTGAAGTAAGAGATTTAAACTCG